CATTTACAGGTTGGAAACCGAGGCCCCAGTAATCTGGTAACTGCCAAATACACAGAAATTTGTACTTTCCCAGCCCTGCTGTTGATTTTAATCTGGTATGTAAGCCAGACCCTGAGAATCATGTATAGGGTTTGGAGACAGCCTTAAATTGGACTAAGTTATTTTACTTATTGAACCACCCAAATGGTTAACAGGGGTCTTTCTGATGCATCTTACAAGCACTAGACATTCATAAGGGCTAATTTCTGTTGCCTAATTTAGACTCAGGAATTTCAGACACCAAAGGATAGAGAACAAGGAGATTATAAGAAAGCAGTTTGTGCACTTAGTCTAATGATTCACCTAGCAACCTGTCAATGGAAAGGTATGGTGTTCTTTAAATTAAAGTAAGCTAATAAAAGTGAATTTATAAGCGAAGCAAACTTGAATCATTCCCAAAGTGAATTTAACAGTGTAGAGTGCTGGCATCAATTGAAAATTAAAAGGGTCACGTTTTAAAGAAAAGTAGTGCAGCCCCACCCCAGTGCCTGGGTTAAAAACCCCAGCTCTGCCAGTAACTGCAAAGTGTGATGTTGGGGGCAAGCCGTGTATCTTCCCTTTGCCCCAGTTTTCTCGTTGCAAAAACAGAGAACACAGTCGCTCCCTGCTTCAGAGCTCTCAGGAAGGGTAAGCCATAGGATTGAATGAGCGAGCTGGAGGGACCCGCCGGTTTGGAGGGAGCCGCCGTGGGTGCCCCATCAGAGTCGCCCTGAGAGCTGCGCCAGTGGCTGAGACCGTGGAGGCTCACCCTCCACGTGGTTCTCTCACTCACTCTGTCCCAGGCCTGTGCAGGAAGACAGAGTTTGGGAGAGAGAGAAGGACACATAAATCATCACATCTCACAAGGAGACAAGAACAAGGGCAGAGGGGACACCCAGCACAGGTGTGGAACACAAGAGGGGAGGGTGGAGAAGGAACAGGACTTTTTAAGGGTTCATATCTTCTTGGGGTGCACAACAATGTGAATGAACTTAATGCCTCTAAACTGTATGCCTAAAAACAGTTAAGATGGTTGGTTTTATTTTATGTGCATTATGGTATGTGTAAATATTTTAAGGGTTAATATCTTCTTGGAGATCCAGCCTGTAAGGAGGTATTCTTACACTGAGTGTACAGATGAAGAAATGGAGCCCTCCTCCCAGGTGGCCTCTGTAGACCCATTTGATGGAAGTGGAACCTTCTTTCTGAAGGCTTGACCCTCCCTGCTCAAGGTCCCTCTGCTGCAAAGACTCAGAGCAAGCAGGACTGTGATCTAGGCTTGCCTGACACCCAACCAGAGCTCTTCCCACTGCAGCCCTCACCCACCTATGCCTGATATGGAATTGCCCCAGCCCAACCCAAATCCTAGTTCTGGGGCAAGCCCCAGATAAGGGAGGGGTGCAAAGAGACCCTGTTTCTCAACCCGATGCAAACAGGGAACGTATTTTCCTGGTTGCTGGAGCAGAGTGGAATCTTCAAAAGCAGTATCACCAATAGCACGGTTGGGAGCTGGAGGAGTCACTGGGAGCCCACCTCTATTCTCAAGCATTTCCTATCCAGGTGATACCAAATGCACACAAGCTTCAGGTGAACCCCTGAGGGCCTTGTCTTGGTGTGGCTGGGGTGTTCAAAGCAACCACGTATATATATGCACCTCAACTTAGTGTCAGCAGCAGCAGCTTGGCCTCTGGGTAGCCCCACCCACTGTCTTCTATAAGTCTTCCCATCTGCCTAGAGAGACTCACCCCCTCCCAGCCAAGAAAGGTGGGGCAGGGGTCTGAGTGGCCCAGAGAAAACTCCTCTGACTATGCTTCATCCAACATTAGCCAAGTACCAGCTCGGGCCCTTCTTCCAGCGACGTTGTTCATTCCTGGAACTCTTGGGACCATCTTGAGTGGGGAGAGGTATAAAGTCTGAAGTGGTCAGTGCTGTCGAAAAATATAAAGGAAGAAAAGGGTTACAGAGCAGTGGTGGTAGTGGTGGGTTTCTGAGGATTGTGGGCTGGGTGAGTGATTCAGTTTAAGTTAGGTATTTTAGGAAGGCCTCAGCAAGAAGTTGACATCTGAGTTAAGATCTGAGGAGGTGAAGGAGTAAGCCATGGAGTATCTGGGGGAAGAACAGTCCAGGCAGACACCCCAGAACAGGAATACGCTCTCAGGGGCAAGAAACTGTAAAGAAAGAAAAAGGTAAAACTGTCTTTATTGTCAGACACCATGATCTGTATGTACAAATTCCTAAGGAATCTAAAACAATATGCTATTGTTTTAGAGAACTAATAAACAAATACAACAAGGTTACAGAATACAAGATCAATATGCAGGAATCACTTGTATTTCTATATGCAAACAATGAACAAGCTGAAAAGGAACTTAAGAATTTAATTCCATTCCTAATAGTATCAAAAAGAATAAAATACTTAGGAATAAATTTTAAAAAGGAAATGCAAGACTCCTACACTAAATATTATAAAACTTTACTGAAGGCAATCAAAGAAGATCTAAATTAGAGACGGTCCATGTTCTTGGATTAGAAAACTAAATATTCAGATGGCAGTATGCCCCTACCTGATCTATAGATTCAACATGATCCATATCAAAATTCCAGAAGGCTTTTTTCCCAGCAATTGGCAAGCTGATCCTAAAATTCATATGAAATGAAAAATGCCTGAAATAGACAAAAACTTCTTGAAAAAGTACAAGGTTGTATGTAGGACCAGCACTTCTTGATTTCAAAATTTACTAAAGCTACAGTTGTCAAGACAGTGTGATACCAGAATAAGGACTGCAATAGAGATCAGTGGAACAGAATTGAGAGTCTAGAAATGAACTCTTATGTTTATGGCCAATGGATTTTTTTTTTTGAGAGGGCATCTCTCATATTTATTGATCAAATGGTTGTTAACAACAATAAAATTCTATATAGGGGGGTCAATGCTCAATGCACAATCATTAATCCATCTCAAGTATGGCTAATAGATTTTTAACAAAAGTGCCATAGCAGTTCATTGGAGGAAATGCTAGGCTGTTTAACAACTCTGTCAGTTGACTACCCATCTACATGCAAAAGGAAAAACTTAGACCCTATCTTATGCGCTACACAAAACTTAACTCAAAATGGATCATTGACTTCAATGTAAGCTGAAACAATAAAACTTTTAGAAGAACACGTAAGAAAATATCTTAAAAACCTTGGGTTATGCAAAAATTTCTTAGCATGATTTATAACAGAAAATATTAATATATTGATATTAATCAAGATAAGTATTTTGTACTTAAGAGCTGCCATTAAGAAAATGAAAAGGTAAACAATAGACTAGTATAAAAGATTTGCAAAATCAGATCTCACGAAGGGCTAATATCCAGTATTTACAAAGAACTTCTACAACTCAATAATAAGAACACAAACAATCTGATCAAAAAATGAACAAAAGATATGAATAGATATTTTTCCAAAAAAGATACATGAAGAGCTAATAAGCACATGAATAGATGCTCAACATCATTAGTCATTAAGGAAATGTGAAATGAGACCTATATCCACATACTAACTAGAATGACCATAATAAAATGTTTTAAAAAGCCAGATAACAACAAATGTTAGCTCAGAGGTGAAGAAACAGAACCCTCATACATTTCATGAGAAATAAAATGGGGCAGCATCTTTGGAAAATAGTTTGGTGGTTCCTCAAAAAGTTAAACATAAACTTGCCATGTGACCCAGCAACTCCACTTCTTGGTATCTATCTAAGAGAAACGAAAACTTACGTCCACACGAATATTTGTGTCAGTGTTCACAGCAGCCTTATTCATAATAGTTCCAAAATTAGAAACAACCTAAATGCTCATCAGCTGATTAAGGGGTAGGCAAAATTTGGTAAAGCCATACATCAGAACACTACTCAGCAATAAAAAGGAACAAATGGATGACTGATGGTAGCATATATAGGATGACCCTCAGATGTTACAACTAAGTGAAAGAGCCCAGACACGAGAGAGTGCTGTGTCTGACTCCTCTTACATGGCATGTCCAAAAAAGGCAAGTTGATAGAGACAGTAAGTACATTAGTGGTTGCCTAGGACTGGAGTAGAGCAGGGATTACCTGTAAATGGACATGAAGGACAGATCTTACTGGGGGCTCCTGAGAACATTCTCAAATTGATTTACTCGGATGGTTCCACCACTTGGTAAAGTTACCAAAAAAGCACTGAATATACCAAAAAAGTAAACTTACATTGGGTAAATTTTATGGTGTTTAAGATATATCTCAATAAAGCTACTTTTTAAAAATATAATGATTTAGTTCAAGGTTCAGGTTCACACCTGACCCAGGAGTCCTTCCTGGGTTGTGATAGGCTGGATAGATGCCACCCTTTTGCCATAGATCACTGTGGGTCCTAGGAGCAAACTACAGCCTCTGTGTCACATCAGTATTGGTTTACGTATTGGGCTCTTCGCTTTGGTGTAAGATTCTAGAGGAAAAATACTTAGTGTTTACTCTCAGAATCCTAGAACAAAGTCCAGCTTAAATAGGACTCAACCAGATCTCGCTAATTAATGAATAAGTGTGAGTGGACAGGCAGAGGCAAGCAGAAAGAGAATCTGATTTCATTGGTGAGGACTTTGAGCCCTACGTGAGTGTGAGAATAATAAAAATGAAAGACATAGCCTGGCAAAAGTACATTGTACTTAATGTGATTTTTATCCTATAAATGAGAAAATGCTGAACAAAAGGAATAAAAGTCCACCTGCATGTGAATGACATGAGCAAGCAATTTATTCTTTCTTTTAAAATGTTGGCAAAGAATAGAAAGTAAGGAGAGAGAAAATATAGGTAAGTGAAAACCTTGGTTGGGGAATCTGACATATCTGGAGGATAAAAACAGGACTTTTTTTTTTTTTTAGGTTCTATTATTTACTGAAAATTTCCACTAGTGGGTGATCCTTACTGCAACAATGAAATATATAAAACAGAAACAGTTCAGTAAATGTGATTCTTTGGTTCATTTCAAGATGTCTAACGGTCTAGCTGCCAAACACACAAGTTCCTGGGTTCTCAGCGAAGGGTGACCAGTTCTTCTGATGACGTAGGGTGAATGGCAACCGTGTTATCGAAGTCGGCTTTTGTTGCTCCCGTTTTTACTGCAATGGCAAAACCCTGCAGCATTTTGTCACACGCTATTCCTTGCATATGGATCCCAACCACCTTTTCCTCTTTGTCAACACAGACCATTTTCATCACACATTTTGTTTTCCTTTTGGTAACTGCATGATACATTGGGGTAAAGGTGGTTGAATAGATCTTCACATTTTCCTTTCCATATTTATAAATGGCCTCATCTTCCGTGAGTCCCACAGTCCCTATAGGGGGGTGGCTGAAGACCACCGTGGGGATGTTGTCATAGTCTAACTTGGAATCTTCCTTGTATTTAAAAAGCCTATGGGTGAGTTTTCGACCAGCAGCTATTGCAACTGGAGTGAGAAGAGCTCTTCCACACACATCCCCGACCGCATAGATGCCTTTTACGTTAGTATTCTGGAATTCATCGACTAGGATATGACCTTTGTCATCAGTTTGAATTCCCAGTTTGTTTAAATTCAGGCTCCTGGAGAGAGAGAAAGAGTGAGAGAGGGAAGAAGGAGGAAGGGAGGAAGCCACAAAGCACCTGTGGGCAGAGCAGAAGGCAGCTGGAGCCCTGGGGCTCCATGGGCAGCAAGAGGACTTGGACTCCTCTCGGATTGGGGCAGGGGCATGGAGGCTGCTGGCAGAGCCATGACAGGGAGGACGTGTGTCAACAAGGTAATAATAGCACTCACTTCACTTGAGAGCATGAGGATGAGCTAAGCTCACAGTTCCATCTCAGCACAGACACCCAATAAGCACCAAAGCTGCTGGCTGGTTAGTGTCATGATCACTATATTATTCCCCTGACACTGCTGGCCCAGAGAGGTGAGACATGCCCTCGCTCAAGGTCACAGCTGTCCATCTCGTGGTCTGGGAGCTGGGCTAAGCAAGGGTCTGCCCCTTGGGGGAAGCCCAAGGGCAGTGGACAGCTCCCAGAGGTGCTGGGCAGTGAAGCACAGGCAAGAGAATAGGCTGACTGTGCTGCCTACCACCTTAATTTCTTGGCCTCTGAACCTCTGTCCCTCATTTGGGGATGGGAGAGTAGCATGGATACTTCCTACAGGGGTCACTGAGGGGATGGAATAAGGCAGAGCCAGTGAACTCTCAGCCCAGGGCTTGTCTCACAAATGGTGCTGTTTAGTCAGGGTCCTTTATTTACTAGATATTTATTGACATGAGGTGCAGGCCACACCAGCCAAAACACTGAGGATGCAAGGTGAACAAGAGGCACTTCAGACTGTGTGCACACACAGACAGACATACAGACACATACACCACATACCAGGTGTCCTGGGCACACACACCAGGAATAAGCCACCAAATTCCAGAATGGGGTATTTATGAGATTCTTTCTGTAGGAATGAACACAGTAGGTGACACTTGGCTTACTTGCTCAAGGATAATAAACTGGAGAGGCTCTTCACAGGACAGACCATCATTGCATTCCTGGAAGTGGCATCTTCCAGTCTGGTATTGACAGTTTTCTTTTAGTAACTAGAGTGAAAACCTCCAGCCCGTCTAGATCCGTGCCCTGGCAAAGTCACCTTCCTAAGGAGAAAGAGAATATGGCTATGGTAGATAGTATAAAGGGGTATTTCTCTGACAAAAAAAAAAATTTGTTTTCATTTTCCCAAACAAAAAGCAGCACTTCAAAGCAGAGACTCCTGGCAGCATTAGCTCCCACCCCACATACCACATGCAGGCCCAGCTCCTACTCCCCACTGCTGACTGGAGCCTGGGCGGAGCAGGAGGCGTTTCTCAGCCCTGGCTCCACACTGGAATCACCTGGGACCTTCAGAATCCTGATGCCTGAGTCCCATCCACAGAGCTTCCAATGTAACTTGCCTAGGGTGGGGCCCGGGTATAGAGTCTTTTTAAATTCTTTCCAAAAAATCTACTGTTCACCCAGGGCTGGAAACTACTGACCTAAAGGATTATCTTTAATGTCCAGTGTATGTTAAGAGAGAAAAACAAGTTCAGGGATCTGTATAGAGCCTGGTACACAGTAGGTGCTCAGTACATGTTCGTTGAATGATTGCAGTGTATAGACTGGCTTCCATACTCATCTTTCAAAGACCATGTGTATGTGTGTGGGCCTGTAGTCAATCACACAGGACAGAGCGGGTGAGGCCCCCAGCCACACACACACACACACACACACACACACACACACACACACACACGTCCTTCTGGAGGGTGGATGCAGGGAAGGCATTTCCACTTTTCGATGTACAGTTGACCCTTGAACAATGTGAGGGTTAGGGGCACTGACACCCTGCACAGTAGAAAATCCTCATATAACTTTTGACCCCTCCAAAATTTAACTACTAACAGCCTGCTGTTGACAGGAAGCCTTACCAATACCATAAACAGTGGATTAGCACACACTTTTGTATATGTACTATATTCTGTATTCTTTTAATAAAGTAAGCAAAAGAAAAGGATTTTTCAAATTATCACAAATCTCCAAAAAATTTTCCAATATATTCATTGAAACAGATCCACGTGTAAGTGGACCTGTGCAGTTCTAACCCACATTGTTCAAGGGTCAAATGTCTATGCTTCTTTAGCATAGGCATTTTTCAATCCAAGCACGTATCATTTTTATATTATTATAGAAATAAAGAAAGTGATCTGCCAGCTGTTAGAGAAGCCATGCTGAGCTTCTTTCACTTCCCTTTTCTATACCTATTCAAGGGACAGGAAATGCCCAAAAAAAGCCAGTGGGAAGGAAAGGTCAAGGTGGTGGCTGAGTCAGTGAGCGAAAGCCGACAGGCTGCCTGGCTCAGCTCTCTAAAATCCCTTCAAAAGTCCCTACGCCCCTTTCAGGCCTGCAGCTTGGACCCCACAGTGGGTTGGGGTAACTGAGAAGCTGAGAGCTACTGGACCAGTGACTGGAGCAGGCCCTGAGGGCAGGGCTGAGGGGCTAGTGTCCTGGGCAGTCAAGCCAGCTGCCCCTCAGGAGCCCTGCCTGGGTTCTCCACTGGGTCATGGTCCTGGGGCTGAGTCATCCTGAGGACCTTATTCTGACACCCGGCCTGCCTTTGGATGTTTGAAAAAACCCCAGGCAGGGGACTGCGGAGAGCCCACTACGGGCTGCACCATCTAACATAGCCACCATACAGTGCTCCGAGTGCCGTATCAGGCTCCTCCTGCTGCTGCTGAGGACAGGAAGGCCAGCTCAGAGTGTCCGGGCCCTGGTCTTAAGCCACACAGGCCCTGTGGCCTGGGAAACCAGGCTGTGGTCAGACCTCCACTCATTCTATCCCAGGGATTCTGCTGATGGTCCCCCTGCTAGACACAAAAGCAGGGGCCCTGATAATGTCTGTAACCTTAATGAGACCCCCAGGAACCCTAAAGCACAGGAAAGTACTGAGAAATCCCCACCCCAGCCATAAGAATGCCAAGATCTCAGCACGTGTACCCACCTAGAAGAGCAGGAACTGGTGTTCCTGGGGAACCTGCTCCATGCCAGGTGCTCAGAAAGGTTAAGTCTTCACCTGCGCCCAGGGTGGCAGTTCTATTATTTCCCCCATGTACAGACAAGAAAACAGGGGCTGAGAGCCACTTAGGCACATGATGAGGAACCCCGCAAAAGGGGCAGAGCCCGGCCCGAACTCGAGACCCTGATCCCAAGGCCCAGGTCCTACAGTGCTCACAAAGGACCTGAATGGCGAAGGTGTCGGGAGTCTTTCTTTCCAGCCCGGACCACCTCACCCAGGCCTAGGCCTCAGGCATCTACCCAGGAGGGCCCAGAAAGGCAGGCCTGAAGAAGGTTCTGGATGGAGGCAGATCATAACTGGCCTCCAAGACTGCATGTGTGGGCTGAGCCAGGCTGGGCTGGAGGCTGGGCCCCCTTGAGAGCCAGCCTCTGGGCCAGGAGCCAGGCTGACCTCTGGCCCTCAGGCCAGGATGAGTGTGTCCATTCTCGCCTCCCTTTTTCTTAGAAGTCCTTTCAGCCCTGGACTTCCTGAAGTTCCTGCTGCAGTGCCAGCCACTTACTAACCCCTCACCTCAGGCCTCGTTTCCCACCCTGATTGAGCACCTGAAGGGGAAGGCTCATGGCAGTGCAGGTGCCATGGGGCTCAGGGGAGAAGAGAACACGCATTGGAGACCCTCAAGGGCTCCATTTCAGCTTCCCTATCACCCTGTGGCCTTACAGACTTGGCCCCTCAGAGCTTCAGTTTCTTTGGCTGTCAGATGGGGTTGACAATGACAACATTATGCAGATGGAATAATGTCTCTGACAGGATACCAAGCAACTTCTCTGGGCCAGGCACTGTCTTAACTGCTGGATGCCCATTTCCTAATTAATTCTTCACAACAATCCAATGAGGCAGAAATGAAGAACAGAGACATAGAAAGTGAAAGTGGGTGCCCAAGGTCACGCAGGTGGTACGTAGTGGAGCTGGGGAGAGCTGAGCAGAGGCAGAGAGAGCTTTCCTTTTGTCTCTGATGAATAGTAATATTATCTCCCGGCTTCTTATGGACGTTGACCTGTGCAGGGAGCCGTGCTGGCCTGTTCACTGTGCACCTCAGCACCTTGTGTGTGCCTGGCACAGAGTAGGCACTCTGGATGAAAGAAAATCCAATAGGGCAGATGCTGGAGAGGAAATAACCTGAGCTATGGAATGAGACATCCCATTTCTCAGCTCTGTGACCTCACCTGATTGCTGCTACCTCTCAGAAGCTGTCTCATTGCAAAATGGAATCACAATTATAATAATACCATGAAAGGGTCACTGTGAGGTTTAGAGGCATATTGAAGAACCCCTTCACCTGCAACTTGGTAAGTGGTACTTTTATTATTGTTTTGGATTATTAATTCAAAATTTTGTATTAATTTGAAATGAGAAAATGTCTGCAAAGGGACTTTGAAAAGTGTCTTCAGATGTATTTTGATGCTTTGATCTGCCTGAGGACACAGACCTTTTTCCAGGTCAGGATGGAGGTATAACGCTGTCAGCTTGAGGGAGGGACTCATGGGAACATTTGGGTCACTCCGTGAGCCAGCAAGTGACGGGGCTGACCAAAGATCTGAGACACAGCCTGAGGCTTGAGTGGGGTCAGACTGGGAACAGGCCGCCCTAGGACCCTCAGACCAGAGCCCCACAGTTTCAGCCAGCTTTTTAGTCTCAGTAGGCTTTTCAAGACCACCCCACTCACCTTGGCCTCATCATTCCACTGGGGAAAATGGAGGCCCAGTGATGGACAGGGGCTACCAAGGTGACTGCAAGTCATCCAGAGCAGAGACCCGAATCCCTGACTCTTGACCCAAGCCACTTGTATCCGTCGCCTGGCTGAGCCTTCCTGCCAGAGCCACCCTGACAGTCCCCAGCTCCTCGGAGGGCACAGACTCTAAACAGGTTGATTTCTGCCCAGTCAAGGACACATGCCCTGTGGAAGGCAGCACCAAGCTTGATCTTACTCCCACGCTTGCCTGCCCCTGGCTCAGGCCTTAGCATGGGGTAGGGCTTGGAAATACCTGCTGAGTGAATGGGACCCTACTCAGTGCTGAGCCCAGGCTAGGACCCTTTGAGCCTCACAGGGAGGTGCACAAGTTGACCCTGAGATCACAGAGGTGAAACCTTATGAAGCAGTGAGAAAGGTGACATGGGGGTGAGACATGGCCCGTTGGTTATGATGGTGTTGTGAGGGTCACAGGCTCTTGACCACATGGCCCACGTTCAAGTCCCAGCTCCACCGTGGACTAGCTGAGGGGGACTTGAACCAGTTCCTTAGCCTCTCTGTGCATCATTTGTGGGGGAGATAGAGTACTTATTCCACAGCGTTGCCATGAAGATTCGTGAGATGCCCGCAATCAGTGCTCACCAAATGGTGGGTGTTGTTATTATTATTTAGAAGACTGGCCTCGGAGGCGCACATTTGCACATGCATGGACATGGCTTCCCCAACAGCTGGATTGCTTCCAACAGCAGGGCTGTTGCCCTGACTCACTGGGCAGAGCTCTTTGAAAGGTACCTGCATTTCTCTCCTGCTACCGTTAACTCCCTCCTGTTCCTTCTGGGTGACTCCTTCCAGCCCAAAGCCCCTTCCTTCCTGTTGTGGGCGGTCACACAGAGATTCCAAGGAGAAACTGAAGCTTATGAGTGTCCTCGTTCTAAATGGCCCCAATCTGCTGGGGAAAACAGGGGGTGGCCAAGAGCCTTGGATGGGCAAAAATGAGCTCACAGTGACCTCAGGCTGGGCCCTTCCCCCCCCGTGGGTCTCTACATCTCCTGGGGTAAAATAAGGATGATCTAAAATATGACCACGATTTCCTTCTTCTGTCCCTTTGGTGGCTGACCCTCAGCGATTCTATTTTCATGTTCTTTCTTAGTAGCATCATCACCCCCACAATAGCTAGCATTGATTGCACACCTGCTATATGCCAGAAATAAAACCCAGCAATTGATCTAATAGTAATTATTCGTTACTGATGCTGCGATCCAGCAGCGAGGAACACTTCACTGAGTATCTCGTGTAATCCTCACAGGAGCCCTCTGCACAGGTATCACGACCATCCTCAGGATGAGCGAGCTTGGTTCCATGTCATGCGGCGGCCTCATTCTGTAGGGATGGGAGCCCAGGAGCCGGGCCCACGGTCACTAGGTCATGCCCAAGTTCCTACAGCCCTGTGGAATAGGAATTACTATCTCCATTTTACTGACAAAAAAGTTACCCTATAGCCCAGCAAAGGGAAGTGACTCAGCCTCTGTCACACTGTTTGAGGTGCTGGCCTCTGAGGATGTCCTGCCTCTACCTCCTTTCATCCCGACTGTCTCAGCCAACACGTCAGAGAAGTGTGCTTGGGTTTTGTGACTCTTAGTCCCACTCAGAATTCCTGTCCAGTCACTCTGAGCTTCACATAACTGAGGGTCCAGCCTTTGGCAGGAGGTCTGACTTCCTGATAAGTGGAGCCCAAATGTGGGACCGGACACAGATCATAGAAGCCCAACTCCATCCACTCCCAGGTCCTCAGGGCACTCCCTCCTGCTTGTTTCTAATGAGCTTGTTTCCTTTGCAGCCCATGACAGCTTGGCCAGCTGGACATGATGATCTTCATTTTGTAAGAAACTGAGGTCATATGGTTTATCTCAGCAGGGAATCAGTGACTAGTGCCCCAGGCAAGTTATATCACCAAGGATACTTATAAAAATTCCAGTAGATTGTGGAGAGAAGGTTGTTTATCCATCTTCAGGGAGGGAATTGGGAGGTGCAGGCTGCAGGCCTTTCCTCCAGCCAGGCAGAGCGAGAGGTCATGATGAGGGGCACACAGCGGCTTCAAGGGCTACTTCCCCGAGGAGTCTGTCCCCATTCAGTGGCTGCCGTGGAGTGAATGGTGACTTAGTTCCTCTCTTCAGTGCTCCCTTTATATACTTACCTTTTTCCCCCAGGAGCAAAGAAAAGAGGAAGCTGCTGTTTAATTTCTGAAGGCCCAGGCAAAGTGAGAACCGGAGCCCTCATATGGAGTGAGGTGACTCATTCCCCAACCTGCAGCAGAGGCCAGCCGGAGCAGGAGGGCCTCGGGGTGACCTGGCCTCTGTCCCCTTTAGGACCAAAATGAATCACCAGTCTCACCGAGTCACACTGGCTGGTCCCGAACTTTCCTGGGTAGAACCAGTACAGGCATTGCAATGAGTTGGGGGTGGGGTCTCCATCAATGGGCACAAACACAGGCAAAAAGGCTGAGCTTCTACTTCCTCTTCATCCTCATCTTGGCACTTGGGAGAAGCCAAGGCAGGACTTCATTCTTGTTGGAACAAAGTGGAAACTGGGACCAGAAAAGGAAAGTCAGGTATAATGCCTCTGACCACACGGATCAGCAAGGTGTAACCTCCTACTACATGCGGGCGTCATGTGGAATCACCATATAAGTGCCCTCATTAGTTCACTGACTTAGGCAGGTGGTCAGGATTGACTGGACATCTGCCAGGTGTCCCTCATTCTGCATGCTGTCCCTTCTCCAGACCTTGCAAAGGAAGAATATGATCCTCATGCACAGATGAAACTGAGGTGCTGGCGAGGACTGCCTAGCCAGGAATCCATCCCAGGGCCATCTGACTCTGAGGCCTTATTTCTTTCGACTCTGTGTCTACAGAGACCTGATCTGCATCAGTGGGCAAAGAATGCCCATCTCACAAATCACCACCTGGCTTCGTCCAGGAGAGCTGAGAAAGCCCAGGACTTTTCTCAATGAAGCTGCCAATGTTATTTCAGAGGAGGAGCCTGCCACAAGGAGAAGCAGAAACTCGGACCTGTTATTTGGGGCCTCAGCATTCCAGAGGCCAGCTGTGTGAGCCTGACGTCACTTGCCAAGTTCCAGGCTGTGCTCCGCTGGTTTGTGACCCCTGTTCCTCCATGCTCATCTCCTCCCCTTGCTCAGCATGCAAGAGACTGAGTGGTGCTGGCAGCTGCTCCTCAGCATCTGGCAGAACATTCTGCCCCAAAGCTGAGCTCCTCTCACTCCCCATCCATCCCTGGGGACAGCCAGTGACTCATTCCATTTTTGATTCAGGGCCAGGCACTAGATCTTTCCATAACTACCAGAACTGGCCATATGGCATTGGAATTAAGGATATCAGTTGTGACATCAGACAGGTCTGAGTTCAAATCCCCCTTCTGCTGCTTGTTGGTTGTGTGATTTCAGGCAACCAGCTTACCCTCTCTGAGCTTCTGTTCCCCATTTATAGATGGAGACCATGGCTATCAACTCTGATATCTTCTTTACTGAAAGTCTTTTCTCTTTTGCCTGCAGCTCTGAAAAATGAACCATTCCATCCTACTAGTTTTCTTTTTTATATACTCATCATGCATAAGCCAAGGAAAGAGGAAGTTGATACTAGATTTCTTAAAATGGAACAGTAATATTTAGATATTGTTTACTTCATGCTAGGCATCTATTATAAGGTGCTATCACCATCCCCATTTTACAGATAAGGAAACTGAGGCCCAGAGAGGTAAGGTAACTTGTCTAAGGTCACACAGCCAGTAAGTGGCAGAGCTGAGATTCACACCCAGGTTGTCTGGCTTCAGAGTTCATGCTTTTAATCATGCTGAGAAAAGCAAATAAGATGAAATACATAAAGCACATGGTGTGGTGCTGAG